AAGGAGGCTATGTTGACCGTGTTAGTGTAGATTTTTGCGGAAAGATTATAAATAAATAATATTTAACCCATTTTGGATGACTGTTTGAACAGCCTCAGGCCCCACAGAGAGGGGAAACCCAGATGGGCAGATTCTTCACACAGCCCTGCAGCAGCTTTTTTTTTTTTTTTTACTTTATTTTACCAGGAAGAAATCAATTGAGATTATTAATCTCTCTTACAAGGATGTCCTGGACAATATGCAATCTTCAAAAACAGTAACAGTCATATTAAAATATTTTCAACAAAACATACATTAATAAAACATAAAATACAATGCAAGTAAAATGAGTATGTATATATATATATTCTGTAGGATTCATTAATTCAACCTTTATTTATTCAGGTTAAACCTATTGAGCCTCGGGAACTCATTTACAAGAGAGACCTGAATTTTTTAACAAAGAGTGATGACATCAGTGGACAAAAACGACAACAATAGACAATCATAAAAGATGCGTACATTTTTATTTTTTACAAGTTAAAATAAAAGGGCAATCGAAAGGAAATGTAACAAAAAAAAAAACATCTAGATTGTAAGGCAATGTAGAAAACTAAAAACGTTGGTTACGTACTGTAACCCCAGATTCTATGAGTATAAGCGTAGCCCTTTAAGGCTGTCGCTGATGGGTTTATCCCGTTATGCGCAGCATAAGCATTGAAAAAATTTAGTCCACGCCCACCTGCTGTGTGGGCCCCACCCGGTCCGTATAAATTACGTTAAGAGCGGGAAATCGGCTCCCATTTTTTCTTCAGCGAGCTAAAATAGTACTGTCAGAAGAACAAAGAAAGAAAATTGTGTAGATGACCAACCTTTGTTAAGGATGCTTGGCCCGGCAGTCGACCTCCGGTCGTCCGGTGAGTTCTCCTCCCCGAGGAGAAGATGACGAGCAGTCCTTTTCCAAGGTAAGCGCAGAGGAATATTTCCCAGTGACAGGTCATTACACGCTGGACAACGGCATCTTGTATTTTTTCCTCTTATCGCCGACCCTCGGAGCGAATCGGATGGTTCCTCCAGGATAGGCGTGCTCAGCTGCAGCCCCCGCTGCTCATTCCCTCCTGGGGAGCGTAGTGTTGGTGGAGGGGGGCTGAGTGAATGCTCACCCCATCCCACCTCGTTTTCGCATCGGCGATCACACCGCTCCCGTCCGATGGCGCCCTCAGTGGTTGCCCGGCGTAACCCAGGAGGAGGCTGACATGAAAGGACCCTTTTTACGTTCTGTTCCTGTTTTTTCCCAGGAACTTAACAGATGTTTGAAGTCACTTAGAGAGGTCAAGGTCGAGAGATTCAGATCTTTTTACAAGATATTCCAGGAAACAGGAGCGGAGTAGGAGAAGGCCCTTTTGCCTAGTTCAGTCCTCACTGAGGGAACACTGCAGGTAATAATGTCCTGAGAGCGCACCCTGTAGCTGCACTCACGCAGAGACTTTAGGAGATGTATGAAGGCAGCAGACCAAGAAGTGATTTAAAGATGAAAATGTACCAGTGACGGAGTCTGCGTGAAGTTAATGATGTCCAGTTAACCAGTTAATTATCAATTAACAGTTAATTAAAATTAACAGTTAATTAGTTAATTAACCAGGACAGACTCACTTTAATAAAAGCCGATGTCGGAACACAAACAGGAACTTTTCTGTTAAATAACTTTCTAATCCACAAACTACACACTGTTTCTGAGAAGACAAGCAACATTTGAAAATCTATAAACACGATTCACAAATAAATCAATAAATGTATGCACACATAACGGTAGTTTTAAAGTATTTTATGTGAAAAATTGTGTCCACTGGCATTTTCCAGTTTTTTTTTAATAAATAATATGGTTACCAAAACTTATAGCACACAATTTCCGGTCAAGCCACATGTTTTGGAGATATTTTTGCATGGGATTATCTAAAGCTGCAGGAGGCGTAGAGCATGGAACATTGTGATGGAAATGGAAAAATAATAACCAGAGTTAGCGTGCTTTAGTGCCTCCTGGCAATCTTAAAAACAAACGAGATGTAGTACATACCTAACCCTAAACGTAACCATTACTAGTACATACCTAA